AGGTCACAAATCTTCATGCAGATTAAGAATAAAATGGACTTACGACGTCCGGGTCCAATGAGAACTGCTGCTGCTACCAGAGACCATACACGGTATTGTGACTTTCATCAAGATCACGGTCATACAACAGAGCAATGCAATAGTCTGGGGTCCGAACTGGAAAGCCTGGCGTAGAAAGGGATGCTAAATGAGTACATCCAAAGAGTTGAACAGCCTCGATTCGTCAGGGAACAAGGGACACAGCATCAAGGAATCCGCAACCCCCCAAACAGGCAAGGTGTGGGATATCAACAGGCCCCACCACCACTCCCACCACCAGCTAGAGTCATACATATGATTACGGGAGGTCTGGAAGCAGGTGGACTGAGCTCTAAGCAGAGAAAGTTGTACGTCAGAGAGGTTAAGCACCAGAACCGAAGTCAGAAGCGCAAATTTGACGATGCTGAATGGAAGACTCAACCCATCACTTTCACATCTGTTGATCTCGAAACAGTTGTCACACCTCACAATGATCCTCTAGTTACTTCTGTCACGATCAACAATTGTGAAGTACAACGAGTCCTTGTTGACACCGGGAGTGCACCAGACATCATGTACTTCCATTGTTTTGAGAGTCTTAGGATAGATCCGGCTCTGTTGCAGCGGTATGATGGTCCCATCTACGGGTTCAACAACCAACCAGTCCCCGTTGAAGGAGTCCTCACCATGAATGTTGCATTTGGGAGTGGCCGAAGTTATGTGACCCCTACAGTGAGGTTTTTAGTGGTCAAGATGGCGTCCTCTTTCAACGCGGTCATTGGCCGACCTACACTAACTGAGATCCGAGCCGTGGTTTCCCAGTCTCATCTATGCATGAAGTTCCCAACTCCTACGGGAATAGCAACACTGCGAGGCAACCAGGAGGTGGCCAGGCATTGCTATATCACCTCGGTAACACAACCTCAGAAGGACAAGGCTCAGACACCCGAGATTAATCCCAAACAGATACCTGATGATCGGCAAGTTATGGGTGTTGAGATAGTAGATAACCGACCAGAAGATGAAACCAGAGCTGCTCCGGTTGAAGATGTGGAGGAGGTACAGATTAATGACAGAGATCCGAGCAGGAAAACGCAAATTGGGACTAAATTGAGCTCGGAAGAAAGAGCAGAGTTAATAGCTTTTCTTTGGGCCAATAACGATGTTTTTGCATGGACTTCAGCAGATATGCCGGGAATCCCCACTTCAGTTTTTCAACATAAACTCAGCACCAATCCCCTCAAAAAACCAGTAGCCCAGAAGCGACGCCTTTTCGGGGGGGAGAGGTTAAAGGTTATCAAAGAAGAAGTCGAGAAACTCCTACAAGCCGGCTTTGTCAGAAGGGTAGATTATTGTGAATGGGTCGCCAATCCGGTACTAGTGAAAAAAGCAAACGGTAAATGGCGAATGTGCATTGATTACACTAACCTCAATGATGCATGTCCAAAGGATTGTTATCCAATGCCAAACATTGATAAGCTGGTTGAGGCAGCTTCAGGGAATGAAAGATTAAGTCTCTTGGATGCATACTCAGGCTACCACCAGGTCCCAATGGCTCTTGAGGATGAAGGAAAAACCTCGTTCTATGCTGGTGATGAGATCTACTGCTATGTAATGATGCCCTTCGGCTTGAAGAATGCAGGCGCCACTTACCAGAAGATGGTTACCATCGTATTCCGAGCTCAAATAGGACGGAATCTAGAAGTTTATGTTGATGATATAGTGGTGAAGAGTTTGAAAGCTGACGATCACTTAACCGATCTTGCGGAGACATTCAACAATCTTAGACAGAATAGAATGAGGTTAAACCCAGCCAAATGCATCTTTGGTGTGGAATCCAGAAAATTCCTGGGTTTTATGGTTTCCCGGAGAGGGATCGAGGTCAACCCAGAGAAGATCAGAGCAATTGCCGAGATGGAACCGCCGAAGTCAGTAAAGGACATAC